TTTTTTTTTAAATAATTGAGAACCAAAAATTCATTGTTTCACATATGTGTAGATGCTCTAATAGAAGCCGCATCCTATATGTTGCATTGTACCATTTTAATAAAAGTTGCAGCTTCTAATACAGATTTTACAATACTGATTTATTTTACAAAAGTGTATATTTTGAAAATATAAATTTAAAATTATCTTCTTGTGTTTCAGATTGAAAAAATAAAATTGGTCCAAATATCCAAATTTGTTTAGAATTATGGTTCTTTTTGCCAACGTTGTTATAGGTCAGAGGGTAGAGGTTAAATACAAAGGTCGCATTCACAGAGGAACTGTGAAGTTCAAGGGATCACTAAACTCAGTGGAAGGTGACTGGGTTGGTGTTGCATTAGCAGAGCCAGGTACGTAATTAAATGCAGCCACTATGTAGTATTGGTCCTTGGAGATTTGTTGCTTCTCCTTGAAACTTGTGAGAGGGTTTGACATTTCATAATAATTAATTAATAATCTACTTTGTTTCTTTACTGATATTATTTTTTTTATTTTGTAACTATGTGAATTTCATTTTACCAAATTACAATTTCCGTAACCATAGTAAAATGTTTTGAAGATCACTGCGACCAATGTAAGATTTTCTGTTGTGTCGTTAATGTGCCTGTGAATTTGCACAACAATTCAATTTGGCGGAAAGTACGAACTTAGGTACTGTCTCTTTTCATGTTTGCTCTGATCTGGGTAACATTCATAATTGTCTCTGTGGATGTGTGCGCAATACATTGTGATAAAAGTTATTTCATTCGTATGGCACCCATATCTGGCACATGTACGACGTGTTGACTAGTACTCTTTAATACTCTTAGTAGTTTGGTAACAAATTTCCAACCTCACCATGATCATTCAATCTGTGAAATCTGTTATATTGATACAATTATAAACACATATCAATGTATACAGTAAGGGCATGACATATTTTAAATATGTGGGCGGTCACAGTTACTATGACACATGAAAGCATGCAAGCACATTATGGGCATAGACAATGTTTAGATCTTGAGCCAATCACTATTGAAAATTTGAATTTAAATGATGATGGCTTTTACAATTTTTTATCAATAGAATAGAATAGGATTCTTTATTAATACCGTAAAGATAATGTGACATTTCTTTTTTGGTTAACGAGTTAATAAAGTTTTTACATAGTTGAGTGGACATAAAACTAACCGTGAATAGTAAGACAATTTACAATATGTAAGAATATGGCATGTGTTGTTTATTTATGCCAGTAATGTATTTCTTATGTTGTAACACTGTTTGATGTTCTTTATGGTTTCTTTGATTAGTGAAGTGTTCTTATTACTCATTATTTGTATAAATTTAGTATTGTTTGTCATATCTTGGAATCCATATATACAGGATTTGGCTGTTGAATATAGAATGTCTCTGTTGTTTGCATATAAGGTGCATTCTGTTGTAAAATGTTGTTCATCTTCAATTTTGAAACAGTTTTGACAAATTTTGCTTTGTAGTGGTATTTTAGGTTTTTGATGGCGACCAGTTTCAATTTTCAGTTTGTGGCCACTCATTCTAAATCTTGCAAGTGTCCCTATTGCTTTTCTGTCATTGAGTTTTTGTAAATAGGTTTTCCTGTTGGATGTTATTTTTGAATAATTTAAAAGTCCTTAGTTTTGAATCAGTACTGTTCATGTTAGACATCCATGTATTTGTATAGCGTTCCTTACACAATTCTTGAAAGTGCTGTTTTGTTGTTTGTATGTCAACAGGTTTGTTGTATGTTTTTTTTCAAATCATGTAGTTTTGATAACCAACTGTTTTTCAAGACTGTATTCTCAATCTTATTAAGTTATGTTTATGTTTATAAGCAAAGCCCTTGCTTTGTGTCTTTAATTGTAATTGTCGCTTGGGATTATAAATATTTAGGTTTATGAATAATTTATAATGTACATGGCATTTTTTGACTCCAGTGTATATTCATTTTCAGTGGGCAAACATAATGGTTTATACAGAGGTACTCAGTATTTTTCCTGTAAAGATGGACATGGGTTATTTATTCACCCGTCAAGAATACGATTCCTGACGACAAAAAGATGGTAATTAAAATAGTAATTTGTTGATTAAATCAGTGCAATAGAGATTTGTATTTGTGGATCATCATGGTGTGTGATGTTTAGAAAAAGCTAAGTACATGGTACTATAGGCTGTAAATCGTTCTGAAACAAGGTGAAAAGGGCATTAAAATCAACAAATCAGTACAGGTAAAAAGTTACGCCTTTATATTGCACTTTGTAATGCGAGTAACATTTTTCTAACTATAGCTTTCGTCATTCAGGTACTTACATTGAACACAATAAGACCGTGATGTTTATTTTTCAGATCAAGTTCAAAATGGCTGACTGGCGACCATTTTGTTTCAAAGAATGCAGTACCTTAACTATATATTTAACATGTTGGACCGATCAAGTTCAAACTTACACATACATCAG